TCTTGAAGCGGTTCAGGAAGGCCCAGTGCCCCATTGTTGAGAGGCTCACCAACTCTCTCATGATGCATGGTAGAAACAATGGCAAGAAGCTCATGGCCGTGAGGATCATCAAGCATGCCATGGAAATTATTCATTTGTTGACTGACCTGAACCCCATTCAGGTCATTGTCGATGCTGTCATCAACAGGTATGGTATTCATGGTTTATGTGTAGATTATGATGATGAATATGCCTTTTGTTGATTTGTATGGTAGAAAGTTTAGTAAGTTTGTTGGTAATCGTTGATTTAGATTTTACATGGGAAGCTACTTGTATGTCTTACTTTGGAGGATGGAATGATGATTATTGGTTTCCCTATTGGTTTGATTGCCTGAATGATGGCATTTTGTATTAGCTCTATCTGACCATTCTCCTTGTCTTCCTCTGCATTCGTTTGTTATTTATAGTTGGATATTTGATGATTGAATGTGTTGCTTTTTGAAAGAAAATATCTTTGCAGAGGAAGGTGTGAAAGCATGTTTGTTTTCTCTTTTAGTTTTCTTTTCTTAACTGAAGTGGTAAGGTTTGATCAATGACAATGACAGTCAGTTGGCGAATGACATGATGATTTCTTTTCCCTATTGGTTTGATAGCCTGAATGATGGCACTTGTGTATTAGCTCTATCGGATCATTCCCTTAATTACTTAAAATAGAATTATGGTTGGTTTATTTCCATGTGACCAACACCATGCTATTTGGTAAAAAATGGTTGATCTCCTGGGGTATGGATTTCTTAGTTGTTGTTTGCATAAGTTGCTCAGTTTATTATCATGTAGATAAAGCAACATTGAACTGAAGTTTTATTTTCTCTTGAGCAGTTTGTGTATGGTTGACATAATTCACACAAAATGTCATAAAACGTTGGGGTTAAACAGTAAACATTGGTTTGTTATATTCATTCCAAATAAGCATTAATATGCTAATTTAGAGCTGTAGTGATACACTATTTGCAGTTCTGGATGTGCATTGTTATAAATCGAATATTAAATTTACTTTTGTATTTGCTAATTTATCAGACTTGTTTGATTGTGTTTCATTTATGCAGTGGTCCCCGTGAAGATGCAACTAGAATTGGTTCTGCTGGAGTTGTAAGGAGACAGGCTGTGGATATATCACCTCTTCGCCGTGTTAATCAGGCTATATATCTTCTAACAACCGGTGCACGTGAAGCTGCATTCAGAAATATCAAGACAATTGCTGAATGCTTGGCTGATGAACTTATTAATGCAGCAAAAGGGTCATCCAACAGGTATGCTTCTACAATTCTATCCGTGGATACATTTATGATGTGTTTTTATCTTCATGACTTATCCATTTTTTTAATGGTGCCTGGGATTTACTTTATACTCTCCATTTCAGCTATGCTATCAAGAAAAAGGATGAAATTGAGAGAGTTGCCAAGGCCAATCGTTGAGCAGCTCGTGGAAGTAATATTTGCGATCTGGGAGATTTTGTTTTTGTTCTATGTTCTTCATTTAATGATATTTTGATCGTTTGCTGGCATTAGTTGCTTTTTAGCTTAAGTTATATGAATGATTTTGTTGCTGGGACGAAAATTTGTGTTCTAAGATCGCGGAGTTATAGAACTAGCCTGTTTCGTAAATTACACTTCGAATTTAAATGGTGGTGTTGGGCATTTTAGCCAGTGTTTTATATTCACCGAGTCCAACATGTAAAGTTATTAGCATAAAGTCATCCTAAATCAAATGTCTGCACTGGACGTAATTTCTAGATTAATCGCCCAAACTTAACGTAATTTCTACATACACTAGTGGTGAACATCCGGTTATTGTTGAACTATCATCAAAGGAAGCTGTTTTCTTAACTGTAAACTTGAGGGATGATGCTTCTGCCTAAATTTAAGGGATTGAGAAGGCAGCATTTACTCATCGAATAAGATTAGGGTTGTGTTTCGATTTTTATTTGAAGCATCTCAAATGAGCATTTGATACTTTGAGAGATTTAGTAACATTTCTCTATCGTTGGGTTAAATGGTCGTTCAGGATACTGGGTTACATTTTCCCAACACGTGCCGAATTTATGTTACGAATATCAATGTATCTTACTAAATGTGTTTCTCACAAAGATACATGAATATATGTATTTTATGTGGTCTTTAAGTTAGATTTTATTTGATGGGAGAAAGATTACCTGCAATTGCGTATGTACTGTAAGCCTAAGGTAATTAAAATTAATTACCTCGCCTCCTTTTACTTTTCTTACATTAGAAAGTGAGAAATGCCCGTCCAACGACGATTTACGCTTAGTCGGTGAGAGTTAGAATTAAAATGTGGCTTTATTAACATTACCATTAAAGTTCATGACAATTGCGACAATACTGAGTTCTCTAAACATGATGATAGAGATAAGATTTTCTGGCTCTGTTCGAAGAAATAAAACTCACCTAGGTGATTTCAAGGTTCTCTCACTACATGTTGAGATATAGTAAAATGGTGGCTATGTGGAGGTTGGCCGTTTTAAGTTATTTGAGGGCGGTGTTAATTGTGTATCATTTTTTCTCTCACTCGTGCCTGTTGGGCTGAGTCAAACGTAGGCTAGGATAGGTCGAAAATAATTATATATAAAAAATTGAAGTGAAATCATTATTTTGTTAAATCATATTAAATTTGATTTATTCATATTTTTATAATTCATTTATGATGAATGCTAAATATCCTGTCATAATTTTAATGTAATTGTTTTAAAGTTAACATAAATACTAAAATTACATGTCAATTATTTCTCTATAGAAAATATAAAATTTTTACCAATTATTACTCATTACTTTGTACAACAAATCTTCATATAAATAAAATCAAGCGGTATCCACATTTGTGGGCCCAACTAATCCTCCTTAAGAAGTTGAGCGTTTTGAGTTATTTTAGGTTAATGTTAAATGTGACACTCATCTATCTCCAAGTATGATACTAATAAGATTCATAAAATTTCAATTACGTCATCATGCAAATTTATAAATAAATTTCTTCAGTTTATTAGAGAAATAAGTAAATAGAATAGTAGTAAACAATTAATTCAAAAATACTAAAATAATAAAGAAGTATTGAAATTCCTAAACTATTCCAAATCCCCGGTGTTACATTGACATCAGGGTCCACACACATCTAGACCTCTCCCTTCCCCTCCCAAGATTGGGGGCCCTCATCTACAAAATATACAAGAGACATACAAAAAAACAAATAGGGAGTGAGAATAATCTCACTCTATAGGGAATGAGACATCCCATCCATTCATAATTAATAATATATTAATAACATACAATATTTTGAAATATAATAGCAACAATTCATACTTCAACTATAATATCAACAATTCATACTTCAATTCCACTCATGAACATCAATTATTCCATTCGCAAGCACATATATAAGAATGCAATGTCATGTGCACCTACGTTTAAATGCATGGGGTATGTTATCTCCCTTGGCAAGTGTACCAAATCGTATAAGTAGTTCAATGAAAGTATGAGTATCGTCTCCCAAGGGACTTGCGCAACACTTTGCAAATTCACTTGTTATACTAACTAAACTACCGGAAAGCAATAAGATTTTGATTTGCTGTAGTAAATAATGTAAACAAGCAATAACAATTCTTTTTGGTATTTTGGTAAACACATAGAGTGCAAAACTTGATTCTAATGCAATATTAATAAGTTGTTGGGGTTTGACTTCACTAAACCTTCCTCTCATGCTTATCACTAAGTTCACAATAGTTATTATTCAGAATTTATCAATCACTCTCAAAAGTAACCAACCCTAATCTCTTACAAGTTGGAATCTAAGTTGCTAACTTAAACTATCAATCTCTTGCATAGTTTAACCAAGAAACCAACTTTAAAAACAAGAGCTTAAGAAAGACCAATGGCATTTACTCTATCTCTAGCAATAAACACCATTAGCTGCTCTATTTCATTTCAAAGGTTTAAAATCATTTCTCAATCTCTTAAAAACCTCAAGTTCAAGTTAAGGGTGATCAAGTCATAACAAGCATTATGCACAAAAACAGAGCAATAAAACTGAATAACAACTAACATTGATTACTTAGAGTTTACACATGAGAATGAGTTTAATTACATCAAACCCAAACAAGGGTGAGTTTAGCTACACATAGACATGTAGAACTCTACAAACGATGAAGAAAGGAAGAAGCTTGATCTTGAATTTTCCAAAGCTCTTCAGCCGCCCCACACACTCCAAGAATGATCCTCCTTGATTATATCATCGAAAATACAACTTTTAGGTCATAAAAGCTTTTGTCTTATGTGAATAATGACATGTCAGCATAATCCACACTAAGCGTGAGAAGCCACACTAAGCTTGAGGATAGGTCTGGAGTGAAATGAGGTTCTGGGACTCCCATGCTCAGCCTCAGTTCCACGCTCAGCGTGAGGATTGAATTTTTGTTCCAGGGACTTTCTGCCAAGCTGAGGCTAAGCCTGGATCTGGGACTTAGCTTGGGAACTTAACCAAAAATTCCTTCAACTTCAAATTCACCACTTTGTGCTTGACTTCCTTCCTTCTTTCCTAGCTTTCTCCAAAACTACAAAACAACAACCAAATACTTGTAAGTTACCTAAAAACATGATTCAAAGACAAAATATGATCACCTAATAATTTAGATATGTTTTGAGTTAAAAACAAGGTCTAAAGCAAGGAAAATTTATATAAGTGCTTCAAACTAGGCCATAAACTTAATGAAATCATAGCACTTATCAAGGTACCCCGTCATCATCATCAAGAATATACAGTTGGTATCTAAGTCCCAAGTTAAGCTTAGGTTACCAACACATAAGTGCTCCCACCAAAATACTAACATGTTCCCACCAGAACCACAAAAACAGATTGCCGCCACAATCACAGAATCATGTAAATAAATGATGCATGTCACTACCATGCAAATGCTTTCATATCAATACATCATGAACATCTTATGATTCATTGTTTGACCAACATTTATATCCATCCATATCTAATGTCACCCATCGAGATAAAAATCATCTTTCATCGGGCATATGTGTGTGTGTACGTGTATATATATATATATATATATATATATATATATATATATATATATAATATTTATTTCTCATCATGTAATCAATCACACACACATCATAGTAACACCATTTAAAAACATCAAAGAGGGCCTTCTGACAATCCTTGTCAGACTTGGAAACCCACGCCCGACTTTAAGCCATTACAGAGATCACCACACTCTCCTCGCGCTTGGCGTCACATTTCCACGCTCGACGCTAAGCCACAACAAAGAGTACCACACTCTCCTCGTGCTCAACATCACATTTTCACGCTTGGTGCCAACACATCTAGGCAGTGCCTTCATACATATGAAGGCACGCCCGATGTCAAGCATTTAAGCTCGACGTCGCGTGCATTCTATCACCCAAATGTATCAATACAAAACACAATCTTGAAACAAACATCGCCCAAATCATTCATCCAATTCATATTCAACCATAAATTCGTTTTACATGCATGAAGTTTACCAATTTAGCATCTACAACTTTGATTCCTTAATTGCATCAAATTCCTCTTCTTAGGGTTCTAAGTTCTAACCCCTTTTTACAGACTCTCAATTAATTACTATGACACATATGATAATCAAATTAATGAATAATAATATCCCTTTCTCCTTTCTCTTCTAATATATAACTCATTTCTCTAAACTCCCTCTTATCTTCATTATTTTCTAATACTCCCCCCTGATTAAATCTAATAAATGTATAAAATAAAAACTATTAATCACAAAATTAAATAAAATTATTATTATCTTCCTAATTAATAATTACTAATTATTAGAAAAATCTTAGGATGATACATTTATAATTCATTTATGATGAATACTAAATATCCTGTCATAATTTTAATGTAATTGTTTTTAAGTTAACATAAATGCTAAAATTACATGTCAAATATATATTACTTACCATGGAAAATCTGAAATATTTTCACAACAAATCTTTATATATATATATATATATATATATATATATATTATAATCAAGCGGTATTCAGATTTGTGGGTCCGACTAATCCTCCTTAAGAAGTTGATCGTTTTGAGTTATTTTATATTGGTGTTAATTGTTTATGATATTACTCACTCGAGCCTATTGGACAAAGTTGTTAGATCCAAAATAATATATAAAAAAATTGAACTTAAATCATTATTTTGTCAAACCATATTAAATTTGCTGTATTTATATTTATATAATAATTGATTTATGATGAATGCTAAATATATCGTCATAATATGAGTGCTACACACCTTAACTCAAATAATTTACAACTGGATCGACTTCTTCACATCCTTACTAAATATTATCTATTTGTTGAAATTGTTGCACGATTGATATTTTTTGAAAATAAAATTATATTAACCGAAAATAGAGATGAGAGAAAGTCTTTGTAATTATATTAATTAATTTGACCAAATAGTATGCCAACTAAATATTGGTTGATAAAATTTCTAAATACAAGCAAAAGTGGCTGTCATTGGCCATTGTCTAACAACCCTCTAGTGCAGACATGGATACCAATGATCGAAAGGCATAATATGTAACAAGAGGGCATACATTTTATACACTGTCTTGTTATATTAGGTTGACAGTGAATCTGAACAATGAGCTTGAGTTGTGATATATTGTTTATGATTACTCGAGGAAGAAGGAAAGAGCCAGATCAACTTGAAACATGGATTCTCTTGCTTTGGCTTCAAGTCAAGGACTCTCTAATTGTGCAATGTGATTTGGTGACGTTTTTGGATTGGTTTCCACCATAAGCTTCAAAGATGTTGATTTTTTGTTTGTGGGTAATGATTCAAAGGTTAACCTTTTAAGCATTGTTAAACTTATCTGCACATTAAACACTTCCAAAGTGATAGTTTAACAACAAAAGAGTTATCTAGATGAAAATAGATTCCATTACCCGCAAACCAAAAGCCAACACCTTTGAATCCACCACATGGCACAATAGGAGAGTGCTTGAGTTGAAGTTGAAGGCAGAGAAACCATGTTGCAAGTTGGATCCAGCTCCTATGTTCCCCCAATTCATTAGATTCACCATCAATCAAGCACAACAATGCAGTGTATAACATGCATGACCACATACTTGTTACATATCATGACATTCAATCATGACTATCTATATTGAGCTTTTTGGATAGAAAGCTTATTGTCTCAAAATGTAGAACAATTCACCAGCATCGAAAGTTCACTCTCATATAAGGATGAGGGTAATGTCATAGAAACTAGTAGTCAAACTCAAAAGATAATAAAAGACTAGTCTCAAACTTGCACTTTCTACACCATCTTGCAAGTTTGACACCTAGTCTTTCATTATCTTTTGAGTTTAACTACTACTTTCTATGATATTACCATCACACTTATATGAGAGTGACCTTTTGATATTGGTGAATTCTCCTACATTGGTCAAGACAATAAGCTTTCTACACAAAAAGCTCAATGTAGATACCCATGATTGAAGGTCATGATTCGTGACAAGTACGTGGGCATACATGTTATACACTGCATTGTTGTGTTTGATTGATGGTGAATCTAATGAATTGGGGGAACAAAGGAGTTAGATACAACTTGCAAAATGATTTCTCTGCCTTCAACCTCAAATCAGGCACTCTCCTATTGTGCCATGTGGTACATATTGATGACATCCTTGTCATCACCAGACAGGCTTCAAAAGTGTTGACTTTTGGTACGTGGGCAATGAAATCTACACCCATTCTAATTATAAGCCGGCCTTTTCTTGTCGGTGTTCCAATAATTCTTCATTTCATTGTTTTTTTTTGGGCGAATGACATGCAGCATCTGCGTATGCAATAAACATAATCAGCGATAACGTAGAGGAAAATAATAGAGGCTGTCAATAATTTCTTTTTATTTATTTTTTGTCACACCATTTATCTCATATATTTTTTCTTATAAGGAAAATTATAAAATATAAATGAATTTTTTTTTTCTATTTCTAAAAGGTGTAAAACTGATTTTAGATAAATGACATGAAATAATCTGGTTTCACGTTATTAGCCATTCTAACAAAAGAAAAATCTCAAAACTGAAAGAAAGCTCACTTGTTTCCAATGAAGAGCATGGAATAATGGTGCGATCTTCTGCATGCTGAGGTATCCTCGTTTTATATCTGGTTTGAGGTAGTTCACAGTATGCAACTTTTTCTACAAGTATATATGTAACATAAATGAAAATGGGAAAACTCGTTTCCTTAAACACGAAGTAGACTCAAATAGATTTGAGAATTTAAAATAGATGATACACAAAAGTTAGATTACCCGCTTAACACATCAGTTTCCACGGTCATTCATTCTTTTCAACATAAGCCACGAGCTTTGAGTTGTCCTTCAACCCTTTCCATCTTTCTTGTTGCACCAGACTTGAAGCATCCATTATAGGAGGCAGGGCAAAAGTAAATGGTAAATTACTTTGCCCAAAGCTACCACAGATATTCGTTGAATATATTACACTAACAACTATAACAAGGTTGATATATATATATATATATATATATA